TAAAGGCTTCAGGCCTGGGTAAGAACCCCTAACACCATACCCTGCTTCTCAGTTACATATAACCTGAAAAGTCTGTTAGATTGTGGCAGTCCGAAAGCATAGGTTTCAGGAAACAAGGGTTTTAGTTTATCATAAACGTGTTGTTCTTCCTGTTTCCAGGACAGTTTCATTATTATTTCCTTTCAGAAACTCATACAGGGGTTTAGCTAATAGGCTATATCTAGGAATCCCACAGCTAACAGGAGTCAGTTAAATCTAGGAACACACAAAGCTGGAAGTCTTAGATGGTCTCTATACCCTCTGCTGAAAGAACTTCACACATTGGGATCAAAACAAACCCTACGTAGTAGACTTTTTGGACCAGAAATTGGGACTTAGACTTTGAGATTTTAGATACTGATATTCCCTACCAACCAGAAAATTTCAAGTCTGAACCAAATGATCTTGAGCCTGTTAGAGAAGAACAGATAACAAAAACAAAACAGAACAAAAAAGAAAAACCAAAAAAACCCTACAGATAAGATCATCTGCATATTGTAAATAGTCCCATATATTAAAGTTAAGTCATTTAAATCCCCAGCCAAAGCTTGTTCAAAATATAGACACTCTCCCTGAATTCTGGGAGAAGGACAGTCCAGGTAAACTGTTTCAACCCAGCTCATCAATCTACTCAAGGCAAAAAGGCATTGTGACTCAGGGGTCATGAGGACGCAAAAGAAAGCACCTTTGAGGACTGAACACCACTGGTATTTGAAGGAATTTGACCTTGCTCCTTAAAATGCATGCTGTGGGACTGCCACAATCCAACAAACTTTTCAGATTATACGTAACTGAGAAGCAGGGTATGGTTTTAGGGGTCCTTATCCAGGCCTGAAGCCTGCGGGCCTTTTCAAATTCTGGTAGAATATTTCTCAAAGAAGTTAGATATAGTAGCCCAGGGATTGCCAAGATATATGAGGGTACTAACTGGGTATATAGGAATAATTGCCTCACTATAGCACAGGGATCTTGTATTAAATGGTAATTACCATTGGGTTTCTTGAGGGCAAAAACTGGAATATTACAAGGTGTCTGACAAAGCACTAAAAGTCCATAGTGAAGGAATTTATTTATAAAGCTTGCACCTTATTTGGCTTCAGTCGCAGGAATGCTACTTACAGTGTGGAAAGGCATGAGGCTCTTTTAGTTTAATAACTACCAGGGCAGCAGTTAAAGCTTTCATAGGCATGTTGGTGGCCCATACTTGGGGTTAATAGGAAGATCAATAAGGATAAGTCATTATCAGCATTGCTGGGAGAGCCAATCATTGCATAATTGTGAGGTTGCTAGGTGAGCCAAAGATAATTTGAGCCCCCATCTTTGTTAATATGCCTTGGCCAAGTAAAGGGACTGGACATTCAGGCATCACTAAGAAGCCATGAATAGAGAGAAAATTATTCATAATTTATTCCACAGGAGAAATAAAATGTTTGGTCACCAGAGGCCCATTGGTGCCCGTAATGAGACAGAAGTCAGAAGCCAACAGTATGGAATAGGAGGAAAGCCCCACTGTTGAAGAGGGTGCTTATGTCTTACCTGCAACATCCAATGTTACCTGAGCCTCCATCCCAATCATGGTAATGATTGGACCGAGGGCTAAGTGGAGTCTTGAGTCTCTTCATTCCAGGGACAACAGTCGGGATCTGGACCAGGGGTCCTTCGATCCTTGGGGCAGTAGGCCCTCCAGGGCCATTTGCCACATTTAAGGCAAGGTGCCTTTGGAAGATGTCCAGCATTAGGGCAGTTTCTCTTTCAGTGGCCCATCTACCAGCAGTATGACACTTACTAGTTATCTTGATTTCTTCAGGGAAGAAACCAGCAGGTAACATTTGGTTGCCCTGTGATGAGGTGAGAAGCCCTGTATGCTTTTCTCCTATTGGTCTTGTTAAATCTTTTTTTTTTTTTTTGTCTTTTCTTCTCGTACCAGGAATCGAACTAATGACCTTGGGCTTGCCAGGCAGGCATTTTGCCACTGAGCTAAATCCCCAGCCCTCTGTCTTGTTAAGTCTTAACTTTCCCTTTTCCTTTGTTCCTCCTCTATATCCTGGTTATGAAAATGAGAATTAGCAGCATTTAGGAGGTCATCAGTGGGAATTTCAGTTCCCAAAGACATCTTTTCCAATTCCTCCTAATACTTGGAGCTGATTGGGTAAGAAATCTGTCTTTAAGAAGGACTTGGCCATCATAGGAGGTCAATTATAGTATGCTTTTACATAGCCTCCTTAAGTCATTCAAGAAATGTAGTTGGGTTTTCATTTGGGCCCAGATAATCTGGGCCCAAAATGATCTACAGGTTTGACTTCATGGCCTTTAAGATTTCTAGAATGCAATTTACAAAATGTCTGCAGTTGCACCTATCATCAGGGTCATTATAGTCCCACTTAGGAAGGTCTACAGGCACTGCTTCAGGCTCTACAAAGTATCTACAATCTATAGCAGTGGTGGTGAACCTATGGCATATGTGTTACTGTGTTTTAGGATAAAAGATGTTAATGTATGATTTTTTTTTCCCTAAACTAAAACCTCAGTTTTCAGGTTTAATTGCAGTGTTGGCACTTTTCGATAAGTAAGTAGATTTTGGGTTGCAGTTTGGGCACTCAGTCTCTAAAAGGTTTGCTGTCACTGATCTAGGGTATGTATGTCTTCAGCATAACATCTGATCCTTGCAGTTACTCAGGACCTTTCTGAATTTCTAAGAATGTGTCCCAAAATAACATCTGAAAAACCACCTAACTCACGTTTGATTTGCTTTAAGTCCTGAAAAGAGAAAGGTTGGTGAGCTTTAATTGGTACAAATTCACCCAATAGTTCCTAAAAAGGGCAAGCAGGTGCCACAGAGGTCAGAACATTTGCTGAGAGCCTTGATTAAGAAGGAGTAAACCCCTTTTTTGCCTGAATTCTGAACATCAGGGTTATTCAATTATCCTCCCAGTTAGGAGGTGGCTCAAGAGATACAAAGCGACCCAAATGAGGGGGTTCCAGTTTATTCATGAATGCCATTATACTTGGATCAAACTTACACTGGGGATATAAATAAACTAACAAAAGCCTGCAGAGAAGATACCTTCAACCACTTTCCTGCCTTTTTACAAAAGAGGTCTAACTGGAGTATAGTCATAGAGTGTATTGAAAGGCAAGTTAATAGGACACATCTGTGAGGAAAAGAATATATGGATCAAAATAAGGCACCCCCCTCATTCTGAGGAGGAAATAAACTGGTAGCAGGTGCAAAAAGGTCTCTTTACCCACTTGCAGACTAGGGATCAGGTGTATCCCATCTTGCTTGTATCCCACATGTGGGTGGTTGCCCTCTATGTTCTTTTAATGACTAATAGCTGACACAGAATACCTCTCATCAGATGACATTCTAGTCTGTATTCTGCAGATATCTGCATGGAAGGAGGCCCAACACTCATTTCCCAATGTTTACACTAATATATACCACCTAACACATACCAAAAGGTTATAGCTGTCTTAGAATACATTAGCACATGAAGCAGACTTAACTGATACAGAAAACAACTCTCTCAAAACAGGACTTCATATTCAGGTAAAGTTGAGAGCTATTAACAGTATGTCATCTTCGGACCAAAAGCAGTGTTACTGCTGAAAGTGGAGGAAGAGGGGGCTGGGGGTTTAGCTCAGAGGTACAGCGCCTGCCTGGCAAGCGCAAGGTCTGTGAGTTCGATTCCCAGTACCGGAAAAAAAAAAAAAAAGTGGAGGAAGAGACAACAGAAATTCAAAAGCCTAAGAAGAGAATGCCAAAACATAGGGGAAAACAAGCTTCACAAACATATGGGCCTGAAACACCCATCACACTGCCAATAAGGATACTTTATCTGAGGCAAAAAGTCTCAAACATTTTGGAACAATTCTAAGCCCATGAACTGCTGCAGCATAGCAGAAACACAGGGAAAAGAAAGGCTCAGGATCTTAATCCAAAGATGGAGGCAATGAGAGATCTCATCTTAGCACTCCAGCCAGCAGACACACAGCATCAAACACATTACTGGGAAGCTGAGTCCTAACAGGGTGAGGTCCTACCACTGCAAAGACCCAGCAACACACCTTGATTCTTCGTGCGCTTGACGGAAGACTTCAGACTAAAGACATGCAGGCTGTCATACAGAGTATAGACAGGTACTGCAAAATGGTAGATTTCCACAGAATGTGGAATGCTAGATTTCCACAAGTGAGATTTCCACAAACTGAATACATCTTTAAGGATTAAGATAGGCAAGCACCAAAAATGCAGTTGCACTGAAAGAGGCCTGAGTTACATTTATATGATTAACTGGGGTCTTTCAAAGTACATCCACCCTTTCCTTCCTCCGAGTTTACTGCTCTTTTACAAATAAAATGGGCAGCGCTGGGGATGTGGTTCAGTGGTAGGGCTCTTGCCTTCCATGCACAAGGCCCTGGGTTCGATCTCCAGTACCACACACATACACAAAAAAAGACTTTTAGCTGGGCGTGGTGGCGCGCGCCTGTAATCCCAGCACTCGGGAGGCTGAGGCCGGAGGATCGTTGCAAGTTTGAGGCCAGCCTCGGAAAAATCAGGGTCACAGCGGAAAACAAAAACAGCAAGTACACAGAAGGGTACAAGGGCAAGAGGTTCTCTCGGTCGCCCCAGGAGAATTCTCGCAAGCACTGCTATTCACCGTCAAGGAAGTTCTGGTATATATTTCTGATTTACAGTTTGGCACTAGCACCTAGGGCCAAATCCCCGTCCTCATCTGCTCAACAAACCTGCCCGGTGCCCGGTGCCCGGTGAAAAGTTCCGACAAGAGCAAGCAGTGGGTGAAGCCGGGGTCGCCTGCAAGCGGTCACATCAGGGTCACCCGACCCACTCGCCCAGCGCTGAGCTCAGCATCAGCACCGACGCCGCACGCCCTCACGCCGGCGAAGTCCCCACACCAAAGCCTTTCCCAGCGACGGCGGAGGACGGGGTGCGGTGTCACCTGAGGGCTGTTGCTGTCGTCCCCCGCCAGCACCTCTAGCACCGGGATGTTCGTTCCAGCAGCGGTCTCCAAAGCGGCAACGGCCTTGGAGAAAGAACTGGCAAATGGCCATTGCAATTTGTGGCCGACAGGGGAGTCTTCAGGCCAGTTAGGTGGACAGATCCAAGCAACGGAACGTACCAGCCCGCCCCTGTGACGCCATCATCTTGCGCCGGAAAACGCAGTTTCCCTCTTGTCCCGCCCCTAGCGTGATGAGGTGTGGATTTTACCCAGTAGGATCGAAGAACAGCGAGCCTCTCCGGACGCGCGGGGGTGGCCTGGGAAAGCGGGATGCTTGAACGATTACGTCAAAAAGGGGGGACGCGTTTGACCCAGGTACAAGGCCGTGGTCTTCACGAACCCTTGAGGGCCTAACCGACGGGAAAGCAAACTAAGCAAGGTCCTGAAAGGAGGATTGGCTGTGGTCTGAGAGATGGGGTCATTTTTTTCACCTGTAACTGTTGGGAAAGAAAAACTTGTTCTGATCAGGTGAAACTGACCAACCATTCACCAGGATAAGTAAGAGCAGGAGAAAGCCTGCTGTGACATGAATTCGAAAGGTTTCCATGCAGAACATGTGACCGAGAAGGATTATCATAACTCCTGAGAGGGTACTGCCTTGTTACCCGCTGACAAATCTTGGTGTTTTGTTTTTGTTTTTATGTTTTGGTCTTTTTTGAGACCGAGTCTCACTATGCAATTCAGGCTAGTCTTGAGCTCACATTTTAGCCCAGGCTGGTCTCGAACTCGCAACGATCCTCCTGCCTCAGCCTGCCGAGTGCTGGGATTACAGGCGTGCGCCACCACGCTCGCGAAATCTTGTTTTTTAAAGTCCACATAAACGGTGCTATCAGAAATTGAATCAGTAAGAATAAAACATCCCATACTTGCCCTGAGCTAATGTCGCTTAACATAGACAAGCAGCGTTAATGTTTACCCCAAAGCACAGCTTCAAATAAAGCTTTTCTGAAAACAACATTCCATATATTCTTTTTTTGTTTGTTTGTTCGGGTTCCGGGAATCGAACTCAGCACCTTGCGTTTGCCACACAGGCGCTCTCCCATTTGTTCTTAACTTTGCAGTTTCTAGGGAACATGACCCCGTGTCTATTTCCCAGCCTAGATCGGATGTCGATGCCTTTATTCATAGGTTTGCTTTGCTTTGAGCTTTTCAAAGAGTTTCATCCAAACTCTGCCCCCATATCCTACAACTGGGTTTTATTTTGTATGGTGTGATACCACATATTTCTGATGTGCAGTCTCCTTGGTTGTAATGAGTAAATAAATCCGACTTTGTTGAATTACAGATTTGTCCCTGCTGGTTTTAGGATGATCGGACAGACTAGAGCTGAGCCATCACTCATGTAGAGTTTAAAGGCAGTGGGAGCACTAAACACAATTGTGAAGACTAGTATTTTAATCAGTGGAATTTATTTTGTGACAAATTTATGGAAGAGTTACAGTACAAAGCTTCCCTCCACCCCACGACTCTTTGAGACTGTGTTGCAGAACTAATACCCATTACCCAGATACTGCTTCAGAAAGTGGCAGGAATGATAGGATACATGTGTTCAAAGTGGGGGAGTACTTTGAGGGGGATTAATGGCAATGTACTTTTTATGGTAATAATTTTTTAAAAAAATTATACATTCACAGTTTGTCAGTCACATCTTGTATTGAACATTTGATACAGAGTATATTCTACTTAAGCATGACAGAATCAAAACTAGGACATTGATATTGATCTATTACTATTACCTAATCCTTAGACTTTATGTATACCAATATTGTCCTTTTACATAAAAGGGTGCAGTTCAGAGTCATTGAGTCATTGTTGCTTTACTTAATTTTATTTAGTCTCTTTCAGTCTTGGGGCTGGGGATTTAGCTCAGCGTCACAGCGCCTGCCTGGCAGGTGCAAGGTCACGAGTTTGATTCCTGGTACCGGAAGGAAAAAAAGAATATCTTCCAGTCTGGAATACTTCTTGATTTTCTTGACCTTGACATTATTAAAGATTGGAGGACAGTTGTAGAAGTTTCTCAGTGAAGTTGTTTCATGTTCTGTCATGATTTGATTTATACATTATGGAAGGATTGCCGGGCCTGGTGGCACATGCCTGTAATCTCAGCACTTGGGAGGCTGAGGCAGGAGGATCGTTGCGAGTTCGAGACCAGCCTGGGCTACAAAGTGAGCTCAAGGCCAGCCTGAACTGCATAGCGAGACCCCGTCTCAAAAAAGACAAAATAAAATAAAATAAAATAAAAAAACATTATGGAAGGACCACCACAAAAGTGATCCTTTATCTCCACAATGAACCTATCAGGTTATGCACAATTTAAATTTGTTCAGTTTCCTCTGATGTCCACTTTGATCACTTGATTGAAGTGGTATCTTAGAAGAAACCCCACCATAAAATTACTCTTTTCCTCTGTTATGGTTTGTGTCTAGGTGTTCCCCCAAAGCCTCAAGCAGTCATGCAGGCAGGCTTTTAGAGTTTGTGATTGAGTCACGGTCCAATGCTGGGATTAAGGCAGTGAGTACTGCACCCCTCTAGAGTGGGTAGCCTGCATACAATATAAAAATATAAGGGACAGAAAGAGGTCTCTCTGTCTCTGTCTCTCTCTCTCATCATTGCCTTTGCTGTTTTCTACTGTCATGAACTATTGCCCCTCTGCCATATGCCGTTCTGTCTTGGAGCCAGCTGATTATGGACTGCAATCTCTACAAACTGTGAACTAAATAAACTTTCCTCCCTTAACTTTGGGAATTGGGTGTTTTGTCTCAGCAATGATGGAGAATTAACTAAGACGTCCTCTTTGATATTAAGAATTTTGTGGGGAGGTACTGTCAAAGTATATAACAATCTGACACCCTTTTAGTTCATTCATTTATATATATTCCTATTGATATGAATTCATGATCCACAATTTTAGCCAATTTGTTATAATCTATTACTATCATTTGTTTTGATGCTTAAATCATTATTTGGCCACTTAAAGCCCTGCTAAGCTCTTTTATATTTTAACAAAGGACAAAACACTGTTAAAAATATACCCATGACTCTTTAAGCATTTCTTTACTTTCTGACCAAAAAGATTTTCTAGTCTCCTTTTACATTTCCCTACTTTAGTCATGGATTCAGCCATTTCTTCAAGGAGCCTGGTTCCTTCTGGTGATACATTGATACCAATATCTGAGTGCTATGTGTTCCTTGCTATTGTTTTTTGTTTGTTTGTTTGTTTGTGTTTCTTCCGGTACCAGGAATCGAACTTACGACCTTGCGCATGACAGGCAGGCACTGTGCCGCTGAGCTAAATCCCCAGCCCCAATTCCTTGCTATTGTTTCTTTACTCCCAGGCTCTCCCATGGACATTGCTAGGAAATATATACACTAGTAATCTCTAATTCCAATCTAACACAACAGGATTTATTTTTGTCCTATATTTGTAACTCCCTTGATAGCGTGAAATTTGGTTCCCATTATTCTTAATATGTTTATCTCCTTGTATTAACCAATTTCTCTCTAGCCACCAACTTCTCATCTCATTTCCAAATGCCATTATGTATAAGGACTTTGCTGGGATTAAAGACCTCAAATAATATCAGTGGTGACTGAAGTTTAAGTGAAGGTTAGTGTGATGCTCGGTGATTGCAGAGGTAGACAGACTTGGGATTTTCTAGGTGGGCTACTGTGTGAAATGATAAAAGCCTAAGACTGTGGCTTGCAGAATTTGATATTGATCAGTTTGGTGAGTGGCATATGTGGAAATCAGGAGACTGAGTTTGTAGGAAGGAAACTTCAAGTTTGAAGATGGCAGAGTAAAAACATCTCTGCCTCATTTTTCTCTTGAAAATCATCTCAAAGGTACAAAAAGCAAAATCACTGTTTTTTTTTTATTATACTAGGAAGTAGCCATAATCTTAACTACAATTTATGAAGATTAAGTGTACATAGAAGACAGTAAATTAGAGGGAAAAGGTAAAATTAAATTCCTGCAAGGTGGACACTGAAGTCCCCAGAAAAGGCTAAAAAGTCTCAAGAATTAAGAGCCACCAGATGCCACAAGAGGTTGGATTATTTGAATATCTGTATAAGGTATTGTTAGAACTTGACTCCAAAGACATCCAGGAAGGCAACTGTTCTTACTATCTGTCTACCTATGTATCTATTTATCTATTATCTATCTATCTATCTATCTATCTATCTATCTATCGGTCTATCATCTATCTATCATGTATGAATCTGTTATGGATCTCAACAAAAATAATTAGCCATTCATTTATCATATTATGTTCCATTGTCTTAGTAAGTTTTCTCATTGCTGAGACAAAATACCCAACACCCAAAGTTAAAGGAGGAAAGGTTTATTGTAGCTCAGTCTATAGAGGTTTCAGTTCATACTTGTCTGGTTTCAAGGCAGGGTGGCAAGGCAGAGGAGAAACAGTTCATGGCAGGCAGAAGGTAGAAGGCAGAAGCAGCAAGCCACAAAATAGTGAAGCAGCAAATGACCATAGAAGCCCTCTTTCTGTCCTTTATATTCTATCTAGGCTACAAACCCTTAAAGCAGGTAGAACTTACATCCAGGGTTGGCCTTCCTGTTATCCACACCCAGTACTATGCCAAACCAATCAGTGGACTAATTTAGTAATCACATACCCTTAATCTCAGCATCACACAATCACAGCATCACACGGTCTAGAGCTACCCCTGAAAAGCCCCATCTATGATTACATGAGGCTTTGGGGTATATCTAGACACAAGCCATAATGCTTTTCTTTTTTTGGTGCTGGGGATTGAATCTAGGGCTTGTGCATGTTTAGCACATATTCTACTACTGAGCTACAACTCCAGCCCTGTATGTTTATTAATTATTATAAATATCCTGTGCACAGAATTGACCACATTTTAAATATAAATGTATAGCCAGGAAACAGATATTTGAGTACAGATGCCAAACTCTAAATATCTTCTTTACCTTGGTACTTGCAGCAAAGAAAAACAAGTTACAGGAAACATACACACCAAGAGTATAAAAAATGTTAGAAAATAAAATAAGAGTACAATATGAAACAAGAACATGCTACATAAAAGGACAATAAAATAGAAAGTGTTCTTAGGAATTAAACATAGAGGGAAAAATTAAATGGAGAGTTGGAAGATAATGTCAGAGTATCTCTTATAACACTTCAATAAACTAGAACTTAAATCTCATTTTACATCTTGGTTATGAGAGAAGGCATAAAGCTATAGAAAGCAAATAACTTTGTACTTAGTATAGATAACATTTCAGATAATTTCTTAGCACGTACTAGTTCTCATTTTGATTTGTCCCAAATTAGTTTGAATTATCTTGAAGAGAAGGAAAATTAGAAAGATGGAAGTGAAGCTTTTTAAAATCTTTTGAGGCATCAGTCAAGAGGAAGGTATTTAAAATAAGCACTTATAAAGTCTGAAATGTAAAATGTCCTTCAAAATGTCCTCTTACCAACTTACTGAGGTTTGGTGAGAATTGGTTCAAACACTCCATGTTGGAAAAGATTAGATTTTCTTAAGTCTTTGGCATATGTTAATGGCATCAAACTTGAAAAACAAAATATCCTATACATTTGTCCTTTTACCTTAACATATGCCACAAGTCCAAATTTTGGGGGCCATTCATATGCAAGGGAATATAGATGTAGTTGTTTTATTAAATGGCACTTTTGATTTTGTTAATAATATTGTCATATCAAAATAGTTCATTGTAACATTTTTCTTGTTAAGTTTTTGAAAGCCAGGCCACAAACCCATGACTAATTAATCATGGTCTTTCATAGCTAACACTTCTTTTCCCAAAATGCTAAGCTTTCACGTTCAGTTTGTGATTATCAAAAGTATAAACTGAATTGTTTCATTAAAAGTGTCATTGTAGGGCATGGTACTGTATGCCTGTAATCTCAACACTCAGGAGGCTGAAGCAGGAAGACTGCCATAGGTTCAAGGCCAGCCTGATTACACAGAGAGCGCCTGCCTCAAAAACACCAAGTGTCATTGCAAAAGATATAACTCTAACATGCCAAATATCTGCTAAAAGGAAAGTTGAAAATTTTACAGAATAGGAACATTTTGAAAAAAAAAAAGTACAGGAAAATGCCCTTGTCATTTAGCCAGGGATTGACAATTGTGAATAGTCCTAGGGCAGAATTATGAGACAGATTACTAGGGGGAAAACAACTTTATTATAAACTACACCACACTTATCTATATAATTACTATAACATGTACAAGTTAGCTGACATAGCCTAAAGAGAACAGCTGGTAAATTCAATATATCTTGAGTGCCATATATCCTACATGGGCAATTATCATATTAAATTGTTAGTGTAACCATATTGCAATATGATTAAATGACTATTCTATCCTCAACAAGTTTGGCCATGTTTTAAAAAGAGTGCAAAATTCAAAACCCTATATAAAAATGTTGACCATAGTGAAATCTAGACATAGAAGTGGTTAAGATAAGGTCTTACTGAATTGGGGGCACTAAACCCAATGACTGTTATTCTTGTTAAAATATCATATGAGGGACAGAGGGAAAGGCCAGGTGAAGATGGAAGCAGAGGCTGAAAGAATGCAGTAAGAAGTTAAGGAATGCCAAAAACTGCTGACAGCCACACCAGAAGCTAGGGACAAGGCACAAGTGGTTTCTGTCTCTGAGTCTCCAGCAGGAACTGATCCTGCTGACACCTTCATATAACACCGGACATCTGGCCTTTTGAACTGTAAGAAAGTAAGTTGCTGTTGTTTTGAGCCACAAAGTTTGTGGTAATTTGGTTTTTTAAATTTAAAAAATTTTTTTTTTGTCTTTTTGAGACAGGGTCTCGCTATGCAATTCAGGCTGGCCTTGAGCTCGTTTTGTAGCCCAGCCTGGTCTCAAACTCACAATGATCCTCCTGCTTCAACCTCCTAAGTGCTGGGATTACAGACATGCACCACCAGGCCTGGCAGTTTGTGGTAATTTGTTATGGCAGCCTTAGGACACTAACATAGGGGGAAAATGGGGAGCCATTGTTAATGAATACAGGGTTTCTTTTTTGAGTGATGAAAACATCCTGAAATTAAGGTGATGCTGGGACAACTCTGAATATACTAAAAACCACTGAAAGATACAAAATGGGTGAACTGTATGTAAGTTACACATCAATAGAGCTGTAAGAAACCCTACCTAAATATAAGTACACCTGACATTTTTTCTAATGCTTTTAAATTTTTTATTGGTATCTTTTAGATATTACAATCACATTCATCATAGGGAATTTATACCTGTACATACCTTTTTTTTTGTCATTCCCCTCCCCCCCTTCAACCCCTCTTCTTTATTTGCAAAAGCTTTGTTTCCATTTTCAGGTTTTTTTTTTTTTTTTTTTTTTTTTCCGGTACCGGGAATAGAACTCACGACCTCACGCTTTTCAGGCAGGCCCTGTGCCGCTGAGCTAAATCCCCAGCCCCTGTTTCCATTTTCTTTTCTCTTTTGTGTCCCTTCCTTCCTCTCCTCTCCCCACTCCCTTGTTCTCATTTGAACTTTTTCTTCCCATTTCCCAATATCTATTATACATTTTGGTCCTTATTTACACTTGGTTTCCCACACAAGAGAAACAATGCAGTAGTTACTCGTGTGTCTGACTTATTTCACTGAAGACTATGGTTTCAAGGTGCATCCATTTAGATATGTATGGCAGACATACATATCTATGTATCTATACATATCACATCTTCTTTATCCATTCATTGGTGGATGGGCATTTGGGCTGTTTCCAAGACTTAGTTATTATAAACTGTGCTGCTATAAACATGGGTGTGCATATATCACTGTGATATGATTTTAATTTGCTTTTAATTCTTTTGGGAAGATACCAAGAAGGGGAATAGCTGGGTCAAATATAACCTCTAGCTTTAGTTTTCTGAGGAATCAAGACTAACCATTAACCACAGTGGTTGCACAAATCTGCACTCCCACCAACAGTGGATAAGGGTTCCTTTTCCTCCACAGCCCCACCAGCATCTGTTACTGGTTGATTTCTTGACAATAGCTTTGTTTCTAGAGATGGAATCTCGGCATTTTTTAACTTGCATCTCTTGAATGACCAGTGATACTGAGCATTTTTTTGTATACTTACTTGCCATTTCTACTTCTTCCTGTGAGAAGTGTCTGTTCATCTCAGATGCCTATTTTGGATTGGGTCTTTAAACTTCAGGGGGGCCTGATTTTTTTGAGTTCCTTATATATTCAAGTAACTAAACCTTTGTCTGAGGAACAGCTGGCAAAATTTTTCTTCCCACTGTGGGCTGTCTCTTCATTCTGTTGGTGGTTTCTTTGGCTGTGCAAAAGCTTTTAAGATGAGATCCAGTTGTTCACTTTGTAAAAGTTCCTGTGCATTCAGGGTTTTGTTCATTAGGCTTTTGCCTACACCAATGTTTTCAAGAGTTCCACCTATTCTATCTTTCAGCAGATTTAGTGTTTCTGTTTTGGTATTTAGATCTCTGATCCATTTTGAATTTATTTTAGTGCTTAGAGAATATATGGGTCTAGTTTTGATCTTTGGCATGTGGAAAGCCAGTTTTTCCAGCACCATTTATTAAAGATTTCTTCCAGTGAATGTTTTGTGCTTTTTCTCAGATATGGTGTGTGTGTGTGTTTGTTGTTTTTGCATCTTTTAATCTGTTCCATTGATCCTTGGGTCTATTTTTTTTCCCCCAGTACCATGCTGTTTTTATCATAGTAGATTTGTAGTATAATTTTAAGTCAGGGATTGTGATGCCCTTGCCTTGCCTTTGTTCCCCAGGATTGTTTTTGCTATTCTGTCTCTTCTGGTTCCAAATGAATTTTAGGATTGTTTTCTCTGATTCTGTGAGATATGCTATTGGAGTTTTGATTGGGGTTGCATTAAATCTGTATAACCATTTTGAAGTATGGCCATTTTCACTATATTAGTTCTTCCTACCCAAGAACAAGGGCTATCTTTCCATTTTCTGTTATCTTCTTTGATCTCCTTTTTCTGAGCAATGTAGTTTCCAGTATAAAGTTCTTTTACTTGCTTCATTAGATGGACTCGGAGGTATTTAATTTTTTGCCTTCTATTGTGAAAGGTGTTGTTTCCCTATTTCTGTGTTTGTTATTTGTATACA